TGACCCGAATTGGTCGTGAACAGAAGCGTTCGTGACCCGAGGTACCACTGTATTCCTCAAATCCTATATTTCTGAAGAATATATCATTCCAAGGAACCAAAGGCTACAGTGAGCAAAGTAGTGATATAAAATGGATGGAGCAGTATCATGGACGAGGAGGTGATGCAAACTGGCCAAAGCTAAGATATTCTGAATTCCACTTATCCACTACTTTTAGTGAAGGTTTTCTTCTAAATATTTAAAATGGTTAATCATGTTTAAGCACGCACTAGAGTTGCCGTGTGTTTCCATGGCAGAAAACTGAAAATTGGTAATGTAGCTGCTAGCTGGGGTTGTATGTGGCCCAAAGATTATGCTTGCCTATCTTAAGAGATGGAGGCCTTTCAGAGAGCTCTTCTTTATGATGCCTTCCTGCTTTGGGGTGCTGCTCTGGCATGATGATCCTCATTGCCAAGTACTATCACAGAAAGCATTGCTAACTAGATTTGAAAAATATAGGCAGCTCAAGGAATTGTAGAGGAATACAGTGTATATAAAATCACAGCTGAAAAACCACCTTTAACTGATGATCTCCTTCAGCTGCAAGGTTTGGCACCTCCAATTACATTCCTTTGTCTATTCTGGGGATTTATTTATTATTTCGGTGACTAAAATTTGTCTAAATTCATGGAGCCAGAAAAATCATAGCTCTGAGCGATGTCTAGGAAAGGAGAAGTGGCAAGCTGGGGCAACTTTAAGGGAAATTTTGGAAGGTGGTTGGAAATATTAGAGGCCAATTCTGCCAGGCCTGCTACCAATTATAAACTGTTAATCAACACAGTAAAAACGTCAAGCATTGTTCCATCTGAAACTGCAAATGATGACTGCCTTATCTCATATACTGTTCTTTCATAGCTAACCAAGGGAAACTATAGAGCCTCATAATGCAGACTGCCACCTTATTAAAACCAGAGGCTGCATATTTGCTTCCAGCTGGCACTTGAACTGCAGGCCAGTGGTTTAACATCCTATCTTGACTTTGCTGCTATTAATTCTTTTTCAATCATGGCTGTGATGTAATGGGAAGTTATAAAAAGAGACTAAAGGGCCATAAACCAGTCATAGACTTGTACCAGTTTTGTGCTTTCAAATCTGGGCCTGGTTTAGTCTGTCTGTCATTTCCCAATGCCTCATAGCAGTATTATATACAGCCATACAAAGTGCCAGGCAGTAACTATTTGCTGAGATATTTTGGCTTGCAGCTGGTGCAAGACTTGCAGGGGCCAGGGTTTCAGATTTAATACTTTCCCTATTCCTTCTAATCCTAAACTTTAATCTGTTGGCCATTAGAAGCAATTGGTGGGCAGTGAAGTTCTCTGAGCTTCTCTGTGCTTCAGTCAACATAGTTTGAGCTTGTAGGAGTTGGCAGCCATTGTCAACAGGAGGGAGAGCTAAACTTGTCTATTCTAGATGCAGCCCTAAGCTTGCCTATTTGGAGATATTGTAGGAATAAATATGACTAGATTTAGGATGGGGCTAACTCTAATACATCTGGTGCTATAGACTGCATTTGCAGATGCTTTCTTCGCAAAACTGGTCTGGCATTCCAGATTTAAGTGGCACAACCTGATCTGCAGGGGTCAGCACTGGTGATGGACTTGAGGCTTTCCTTCCCTCTGAGATTTCACACTATTTTCTCTGTACAATAAGGTTTTGAAAAATAGTCATCTTTTGAGTTAGGAAAAGGCTATCAGAGAGAATCCCTGTGAACTGTAGCATCAGGTCTTGGTATTCATATGATGTTTTTGATACATCTCCAAGCCAAGAAAGGTAACCAAACACTTCTGTAATGAGAGCCAAAATCTTAGAAGGGATTATTAAGCTAAATTAAAGCCTAAAGCAGAGTAGATAGACAGAGATCCCTGAGCATACTCCAGTATATGTGTGAACACCCACGTGAATAGATTTATTAAAATGATAACTAAAAATTATTTTGGATGATATCCCTTTATAACTTTATTTAGATATAACTGTTCCTGATTTGACTCATGTCTTGTGAGCATCCCTTATTTAGTACTGTACCTTTAATAAGATCTCACAGTGTGCTGAAACAGTGAGGTGGGATGTTTATAAGTTCAGTATTTCCATATATGTTTCACCTTATTACTTTTAGTGGCTTGAGAGTGACCTACAAATTACAGAAGTCTGCTATATCCCATAGAAAATAATGTAGTTATATGCCCCTGGGAAGAACATGAAATACTCCAGGCAAATCTGTTTCCTGCTTTCTTTGCTTTGCAAGAAACCAAACTAAAGTGTGTCATTCTTAAAATTTTCCTGGGTGGAAGGAGGATGGCGTTAACAAATTACTGGACTGCAGTCAGAACAAGAGATGACTTGGTAAGCCGGGATTCCTTTGAAGATTTAGCATTTAAATAGAGAAATTGTTAGTCAGTGGCAATTTCTTTGGCTATGGATGGATGCCAGATTAAGGCATGACCTTTTCCAGTAGGTTCTTCTAATCTCCAGATATGTGTTTTGGTGCAGATCTGCTCATGGAATCTTTTGTCAGTACTTGCCTTGCTACAAATGACTTAGCTTTAAAGCTGTAATTATGGTAAAGCAGCAAATTGCTGCCTAGTGAAATGATCAAACATTTCCATTTGCCCGTCGCAGCCCTGAAGCAGAGCTCATTCCCACAGACAAGTGCGATTGTAGCAGGGAAGATAAAGAGCTTAGTAGTGACTTGAGGATGAGACAGAACGGCACAAAAGAGTGCAGTAGAATTGATCTCACACTTCCCAAAGCCCACAGATTAACCCAGAATTTTTGATCTTAGCACGTAATATGACCGGTTTGATTAAAAACAACAACAAGCCTTCCTTTTAGGACATCTCTTCTAATGGACATATCACTTCTGGTGTGCTTATTTCCTGTAACGAAGGAATCCAGAAGAAATGTCATCAGGCTATCAAATCTATTTGATTCTTAGAGGAAGGAGCGTATGGTCTGTTGAATGAAATGGAAAAGTTACGGTGTGGTAATGAAGTTATGGGTAAACGTATTATTGGGATCTGAACATTAGATAGGCTTTGGGACTGCAAATTAGACATTTATTTGATTGATGGACAGACCTGGGAATTAAAAACTGTCACCATTTGAAAATACAGTATATCCTCTTTCATGAGTATTGAACTCAGTTTCAGGGCAACTAATAACTCACTTTCAGAATTAAATGTGTCTTCTATAAACAGAAAATGTAATAGAAAGTGGCAAAATGGAGAAGGTTCTTGGGCAGTTGTCTCAAATCAAAAGTAATACTTTTCACAAGCGTGAGGCACACAGAGTTTTCTTAATAAGATTTATTGAAGACAATGGAGTCAATGGTTGAAATGTTTGCTGTGGTGTTTGGTGTGGGAATGAGTGGTATGGACAGTGCTAGGTTACTGCAGGACTGGAGCAGAGTTGAATTGCAGAGGTGCTGAGGTGTCAGGAGGTAGATGTTGGCCTGTGGACTATACTGAAGCGATCTCTTGGGTAGACTCCAGAGTGGGGCTTCAGCCCAGGACTTGTGCACTCTTGTCAGCATCAGGGGAGAGGTATCTTGGTCAGAGATTTTCTAGCTGAGCAAGTGCAGTGAACTGAGCAGAGCTGTGCTTGTAAGAATTTTGGCTTCTAAGGTGTGCTGGCCCTCCAGCAGAGAACAGCAACCTGAAATATGGCAATGAAAAGTCTAGGCAGCAGAAGCTGGGTCAGGCTGACAGACATGTGTATGATCAGCCCAAGCCCTACATCTGCACAGGTATAGATCTTTTGTACCTGCACCTGAGTCTGGGTCAATCTGGAGGATCTGTATTCATCTGTCAGCCATTGGGATCACTTCTTGGATTGCTTACCTACTTGATAGATCTGGAACCTCCCCTGGACTTGACTGGGAGGTAGAAACGGAATTGTACCAGTGGCTAGATCTGATCATTGGAGGCTAGCAAGAGGAGAAGTAGATTGTATGGGCAAATATTAATTTATTTGATTTATATGACCACCTAATTTTTCTCTGAGATATGCCCACCTGGGTTTTAAGGCTGGCACCAGCCATGAAACCCAAGGATGGGGTGGCAGTTGTCATCTGGGAACCCCTAATGGCTTTCAGAGTCTCTGCTGGAAATAATCAGATGTGAGACCTCTTAGCTGAAGTTGGGTTCTATAGAGCTACTGGGTTTGTTGCTGCTGTACTGACTTGCTTGCTGTACAACAATATTTCTGCCTGAGCTGCTCAATTCTGTCACCAGGTTGGCAGTGGAATCTCCAAGACTAATAGTTATTAGAGACTTTAACTTGCCCTTGTATGATGTAGCGTCTGGAGTGGCTCAGGAGTTCATGGGCACCATGGCAACTATGGAGGTATTGCAGGACTGAACATATTCATGTGGTCATATGTTAGAACTTGGTTTTGTCTCAGGGAACAACACTCCTTTGACATGGTCAGATCATTCTCTGGGTGCTTTTCAGCTTGCCAGTGCTATTCCTGCCCCCCTTCCCACAGGGAGGTTAAACTATTAGGTTGTCCAACCCAGGCAGCTAATGGAGCATGATGGGTTTCAGAAGGAGCTTGGGTTTTTTTCCCAGTGATCTGGTGGGCAGTTCAACCATGACCTCAGTCTCCACTTGGAATGAGCATGTGTTAATGGCCTTGGATTGGATTGCTCGTATTCATCCTCTCCCTGTTCATCAACCCTGGATGCCTCCCTAATTGTCTGAGGAGCTCCAAGAGATGCAGTGGCAGAAAAGATGCATAAAGGATCTTGGAGAAAGACAAAGATTAAATCTGACAGAACATATGTAAGAGCATTTATTAGGGATCACATCATAGCAATAAAAAGGGGCAAAGCATAATTATATTTCTGCTTTTACCACATCTGCAGATAGCTTCCAGAAGTCCTTTTTAAGATGACCTGTTTCCTGCTGGAGAGGGAGGGATCACAAGATCATCTACATCTGAAGCCCAAGGATGGGGTGGCAGTGTCAGGGCCACTGTGAGGAATATTTTAGGCATCTGACAGATAGGTCACTCAGGTCCACTTGGAGTTGGATTTTTACTGGGCAGGTCCAGTCCAGTTGTCTGAGGCATGGCCTTGTCCTGTTGTCTGGAAAGTGTTTGATTCTGTAATTCATGAGGAAGTAGACAGGGTTCTTGGGACTATCAACTCAACCACCTGTCTTTTAGATCTGTGTTCCTCCTGGCTAGTTAAGGCTACCTGGGAGATGAAATGTGGTTAGGTTCATGCAGTAGTGAATTTGTCTTTGCGTAAGGAAATGATTCCATCTGCCTTGAAACTGGTGATGGTATACCCCCACCTCAAGAAGCCATCTCTGGACCCAGTGGTTCTGGACAATTTTCACTTTGCCTCCAATCTTCCCTTCTTCGTAAAGGTTAAGAAGATGATTGGATTACAGCTTCAGAAGACCTGAAGGAAATAGATTATCTAGACCCTTTTTAAATTAGATTTTAGGGCAGGACATAGTATGGAAACAGCATTGATATACTTGATGATCTCTGGTGGAACCAGGATGGGGATGGCACAACTAATCTGGTTCTCCTTGATGTCTCAGCGGCTTTCAAAAGCATAGATAATATTATCCTTCTGTACTGACTGTGGATTGTGAGTGAGTAGCACAATGTTGTGATGGTTCTTTTCCTTTCTTTCTGGACAGTTCCAGTCAGTGTTGACTTGGGGAGTGGGGGGAGAAATCAAGCCCAAAGCCCCTGGTTTGTAGGATACTACAGGGCTTGACAATTTTGCTGTCCTGTTTCACATTGACATGAAGCTGCTGGGTGAGATCATCTGTCAATATGTGGTCAGGTATCATCAATATCTGGATGATACTCAGCTGTATATATCAACTCCTAGTCAACCAAGAGATAATATGAAAGTTTTGTCCCAAGCCTGTCAGGGTCCAGATGGAGAGGAATAGGCTTAAGCTGATCCCTGACAACACTGAGTGGCTGTGGATTCATAATTCTTCTGGTGCCCTGGTTTTTCCATCTTCAGTTCTGAATGGGGTTGCACTGCTCCAGACAAAACTGACACACAATTTGAGTGTCTTTCTGGACTCTCACTCTTGCTTGAAAACCAGGTAGCAGCTGTAGCCAAGAAGGCCTTTGTACATATTTGTCTTGTATGCCAGTTGTTCCTCTTCTTAGACCAGGAGGCCCTTTTCATGGTTACTCATGCCTTGGTTACCTCATATATGGACAACTGCAATGTACTGTTTTTTGGGCTGTCCTTGAAGATCACTCAGAAGTTTCAGCTGATCCAGAATGTGGCAGCATAAGCAGTTATGGACATGTCATGGTATTCCCATGTAACACCTCTGGTTTGAGAACTGCACTAGTTACTGGTAGACTTCCAGGTGCAGTTCAAGGTACTGGTTATCATCTACAAAGCCCTACATGACATAAGATCTGGCTATCTCAGCGACTTTTTCCCATTGTTTCTGCCCATCTTTTAAAATCCAACAGAGTGTGCATGCTCCAGGTCCCACATGTTAAGCAGTGTCATTTGGTAGGACCAGGAAGCATGGTGCAATAGCCTCTCCCTAAAGATCGAGCAGCCACAACTCTGTACTCCTTTAAACAAGCCTTTTCCCCAGGCTTTGGGGTAGGATGGACTGCAAGTTCACTTTGTAAAGGGTTCATATATCTATTCCACTGGAATGACCATCTTTCTTTTCTGTTACCTGTTATTTTTCCTAGTATTCAATTGGTATTTGAGTTGTTGAGACCCCTTGTGATCCTCAGGTTGCCCATGCTTGCTTTAGTTTCTCAGATCCATGCCTCTTTCAGCAAGCATGCACAAACCTGTTGCAAAAAATAATTCAGTTATATATTTATGAAATAAACACAAAGCTTTTAGATATCAGAAAACACTTGCTTGCAGAATTTAAGCAAAAGCTCATCTTTCAGAACTGGAAAGAAAACATTATTTTGGACACATAGACAAGAACTTAATTTGAGCCAGAGTTCAGCATTAAAATCTGTTTACTCACTAATATTTAATAATTTTTTTCTTTCTGTCACATTACAGTTATAATTTGGTAACAACATTGGAGTTATTGGGGACTGTACTGGGGACTCCTGTATTGGAGGAGGACAATGATGGCCTCAGGGTCCTATTTTGACATCCCTTTTGTGGCACCTGGAGCTTCACCTTTTGGCACAAAACTTGCAACTTGGTGCAGTTTTGAGACCGGAAGGGCCCCAAACTCTCTCCACTAAAGTTACCCCACCTCAGAAAAACTTGGCCCAAATCTGCCCCTCCAATGTGCCATCATGCAGCCCTCAGTTACATGTAAGTGGTGCTCAAATTAACATTCAGGAAAGCGGTTATAAAGCTGAGGGGAGTGTCCCTGCACATATTTGTGGGGGTTGAGTGATAGAACTTCCTAATGACCTTTTAATAACTTTTGTTCTTTCTTCCAGCTTGTTTGCCGGCATCGTCCCTCGAATCTCTTCCATCAGCCTTGGAGGCTTCATCTTTCTTGGGATGTATGACAAGATCCGAAGCTTGCTTTTATGATTTTGGTCAAAATGAACAGCTGTGGAGCTGCTTCCCCCCTCCCTGCCTAACTCTTAAGAGAAAACATGCATTCATGAAAGTTATTCTTTTGCCTTCCCACACGGTTCTGCTCCCCCTCCCCCCCATTTCCCCCCCCCCCCCCCCCCCCCCCCCCC